GGGCGGCGGGCGGGAGCCGAGGCCGGCGCCCCCGCAAGCCCGCAGCCGGCTGCCGGAGCCCACCTCTGCAGAGACAAAGGTTAGAAAAAGAGGGGGTGAGGCTCTGGGAAAGCAGAATGCGGGGGGAAATTCGCCTGGGAAATCAGGAAAAAGGCCGTGAAGGCGAGCGGCGCCTGCACATGACCAGCCGCAGCCAATGACGACCGCAAATAGGTCATAAAAAGGTCTATTACCAAGTTGTAAATTTTCTTCAAACAAAAAGGAATTTACTGCAATTCCTTGCGGATTTTGCACATACAGCTCGCAAGCGCCATGTTTTTCCTCTCTCTCTCTCTCTCTCTCTCTCTCTCTCTCTCTCTCTCTCTCTCCTTGTCGCTCTTTGCTCTTGCCTCCTCCTCTCTCCCTTTTCTTCCCTCTCTTCTTACCCCCTCTTTTCTTTCTGTCTCCCTGTCCTTCCTTCTTTCTCTGTCTCGCTCTTCTTTTTCTTAGGAAATTATTTTTGCAAATGTGGCTTAAAATCTCTGTGCGGGTGGCCCAGCGTCGGAGGTCGCCAGCGCCAGTTCTGTGGGCGCTGGCCAGGCCGTCCCCGCCGCAAACCGCCCCCCTCACAGTCTCCCCACTATGTGGGTCACTCGGCTTCCCCTCCTCTCTCCTCCCCTCGCTGAAAAGCCTGGTGGGGAAGGGCATCCAAGCACTTTCGGTTTTTACCCTCTCATGGGGCAGCCCAGCCCCAGTGATCTTGCCCAGAAATCCTGGACTGTGCAGGCCAAGAAAGCATGCTTAGGTACCGCTGCTCTCCAAAGTAAATTGAGGTTCCGCCCATTTCCTGGGGAATTCTGTGACGGGGCAGTCACCAACCAGCCCAGAGGCCTGAAATGGTTTTAGGTCCTTGTCAAAATACTTTCCAAAATAGCACTTTGAGCGCCCACTGCCTGGTCTTCCTCTCCACAGAAACCTCCTCAGGGATGGTCTAGGGTTAAAGAAATAATCTTTCTGGATCCCCAGTGACACCCCTCTCTTTAGGTCCTTTCTAAGAACAATTATCAGTTTTATGGAATTTAATTCTAGCTCCCTCTTCTCCGGTTGCACCCCAAGTGTTTTCCCATTGAAGAGCCTGTTCCATGCAATTCTGAAGAAAGGGTTTCCATTTCTTCAGAAAGACAATGACTCCCTAAAATCAGCCTAGAAAAAAGGAACTCTTCCTCAAAGGCAAACATCACATCTCCTTTGCATTTCTTGTTGTTTTTTTTTTTTTTTCCTTTGCATTTATTGTTGAACTGGCCCTGGGGAACAACTCAAAGTAAATGTCCTTGCTGGACCCCAGCATTCCTCTCCCAGGCTTGGCCACACAGGCTTCAGTACCTGCCTGAAACAGATAACCACCACCCTGCCCCGTGTTCTAGCAATATGTTTGTAAGTGTTTGCGTTGGATATCTGTGCATAGATTCCTTGTTGTTAGCATTTCCCACCCAGTAAGTTCCTAAGTGGACGGCGGCTTCAGCAGGAAATGGCACTGCATCCTCTAGGGCAGGTCATTTGTAGCCCAGAGAAAGTTCCAATGACCTTGGATATTTTTATTAAAGGTTTTCTGTTGCTGTCAGCAAAAGTCATTTTCTTTCTAAGAAAAGCCAGTGGGCTGTCATTTTGCTGGAGGATGCAAGAACATCAGCCAGGTCCCCTGAAATGTTCACTCTGTTCCTCCGTCCACCCCCAGGTGACCAAGGATTCAGCAAACACCGGGAAAACAGAGGACACATGGATGTGAAATAGCAACATCTTCTGAATCAAACAATAAAACTATGCTTTATTACACAGGCAAATGGGGCAAGTTATTGGGCCCTCCCATGCCTGGGACAGTATATACTGCCCTGTACCCTTGGAGCTGAGCAAAGGTATTATTCAATTCTAAAATTTTCAGAGAAATAATCTCTGTCAATGTGCCTCTTTATCTTCTCCCTTTCTACTCAAATAAAAGCAGAGCTTTATGACCTTCCTTTTCATCTTGGGGAATGAGGGCTCGAAAGAGGCTCTGCACGGAAAGGGCAGCCATATTTGTGCTTTTTCCCCTGTGCAGAGGTAAGCAATGTATTGATCCTTGTGGAATTTTACAAAATGGCATCCCTGAACTGATTTCTTTAGAAGCCAGGGCGCTCCATCCGCTCTTTTGTGTGTTTCTGATCCTTGCAAACAGCCTAAGTCACCCCAAAGGCTTTGCTCCTCCGATCAAGGTTAACAGTAGAGGGTCCCAAAATTTCTTTAAACAGCTTGCCAAACTGTTTAAAGGCAAACCATATCTAGGCAGGCTGCCGCAGTTCAGGGCAAAAAGAAAAAAAGAAAAAAAGAAAACCTCCCTGGGTTTACAAAGGGCACTTGGAAGGTTTATGCAAATTTCTGCAGCAAAAATGTTTGCGTGTTGCCACAATGCTTGCATGTGTACAGATCTGAGCCAGTTTGGAAGGCATCTTGTATGCTCCTCACTGCTAGTCTGTCAGCTGGACATACCATGATGGGGGTGGGGATGTCTAGCCACTGTAAGAGAAGGTGGTCCAATGTGTTGTGAGATGTGTAAGTCCTCAGGGTCTTTATTTAAACACAAACCTATGGCGTTTCCTAACTACAAAAGGAAACATAGATAGCTACATTACAACCAACACTTTTTGCATGTGTATAATACATATACATACAAATTCACATTCTCCATTACACCAATTATGGTAACAGAGTAATCTTCTGTGCAGCCATGGTTTATGGGGCTGGTGGGGCAAGAAGGCACATTTCCAGAGCAGCGCTGAATGCTGCGGAAATGACATTTTCCCTTCCCTTCCTTCCTTGATTTCCACATGCACCCATGCACTTTGTCCCTTACCTGAGTGTTGCAAAATCAGTAGCTGTAAAATTAGCATTTGGGCGCATTCTTGAGCGGCAAACAGCAACCTTTGCTAATAAGCAGGATTCCCTTATATCCAGAGCAACTGGAATGTAGCCAGCACCGGTCTTTGGACAGTTTTTGCCCCAAGCTATTCCCTAGCCAGGCTCTCACCCCTGGGCATCCTTGCTCTGTACCAGCCAACAGCAGAGTCTCAGGACGCGCACAGAACCAAAACGTTCCCAAATTCAGCATGCGTTTGCAGCTGTCCCCTCGAGTGCAAATGTTTAAACCTCAGCCATCCATGACTTAAAATTGTCTTTCCTGGCTTAGGTTGACAAATGTCACAGCCATGGCCTCTTCCCTGGGTGGAAAGCCAAGTGCTGCTTTGTCTCTGACCCAACCAATGCGGACATTTCTCAGGTCCATGAAAGGGCAGGCAAACAGCTACCAACTCACACCTAAGTGGGTGAGTCTGGCTCAAAAGTAAAGAATCAGCTGGGCATGGTGGCACACACCTGTAATCTCAGCATTCAGGATGCTGAGGTGGGCATACTAGGCCAGCCGGGACTACATACATGCTGAGATCCTGTCTCAAACAAAAACCCTGAAGAATCCTCTTCTCACTTGTTCACCTAAAAGCAACCTGGAAATTTTAAAATCCATCTTTAAAAATAAATATGGCTAGAAAAGGCAGGAAGCCTTCCAATGTCTAGAAAAGGTGCTTTCCAATTTTTAGGGAAAAATGTTACTTTACTCGCATTTCTTCCCTTCCTCCCCTCTTTCCACTCCCTCCCCTGTAAAATGGCAGCTGCAAGAGCAGCCTCCAATAGGAAAACGGATATCTTGTTAATAACAGATGCCAAACCCTGGCATCAAGTGGGACTCAGTGGAATTAAGCTGTGGTGTAGCCTGGACTCAGGGGTCATCCCTCTGCTCGGCTACAACTCTAGTCCTCTGTGAAGGTCAAAGCTTTCACAGTATTTTAGGATTATTTAGAGCAAGATGAAGCACGGATCGCATAGCATAGCCAGCCTTCTCAGGAAGGAGTGTCTCCCACCTCCTGCTTTTCTTTTTTTAACTGTTTGGGCAGTGTGTTGCCCCCACCCCTCTTATCAAACAGAAGCCTCCAGCAAGTCCCAGCCTTCATGTGTGTCCTGGCCATTGTTCATGACTCAGGAAAAGGGGTATTTGCGGCGCGCTCAAAGATATTAGCTCTAGAAAGAGATTCAGTTCTTTATTGAGGAGCTAGTTATGTTCTGGAGCGGCTGTTTACACTCGGAGATTTCTGCGTTTGCTCTCAGGGCTTATTTCAAATATGTGAGGCCGTATCTTTCCTGAAGAAGAGCAGAGGACGTACCAACCGACATCTGAAATGCACACAGCAAGTTGGCTTGAAAGGAACATGCGAACAGAGCAAGTGAACAGAGCGCAGAAATACAAATAAATATGGCACCTACCAAAAAATCACAATGACAACCCTGGCGCAGAAACCTAGCGATTTTCAGGCGATTACAAGCGAGATTCAAAATGAAAGCAAGACAACTTGCTAAAGTAAAAACTGAAAATCTTGTAATTGGTTTTTCAAGTATTATTCACTCTAGATTATTTAATTGCCATAATATACAATGATTAAATGTCAACTTTGACATTGTCCTGAAACTTGTCACTGGCCCAACACTTTCTTGCAGTTTATGGAAGCTACAGAGCCTGGACTATACATTACACTCCTCAGCTAACATGTGCTTTTTGAATATTTGGCCCAGACATTTCCCTGACATATGACATTTGCAAAATAAGAAACCCTTTAGGAGTAAACAAAAGACACCCAAACCATTCATTATAAAAGATAAAAGAAAAACCATAAATAATACATTTTAATCAAATAATAAAGTAAATATTCTGCAGGCATAATTTTTTTAAAAAAATTAATAGACTTCTTTTAATTTACTCACCATAAAGAAAAGATTTAAACTGTTCAAGTGCACTTGTTTGATTAATAAAGCATTTTATATTCAATTATTTAGTGCTAATCATTAGGAAGTTTACGTTGTTGAGGCAAATCACCAGCTCAGACATTAAAAACTACCATTATAAAAATATAGCTACAAGGTCAGTATCAAATTACCCTATCATGGGACAGCGCAAAGACTGCTTCTGTGCCATACCAGAAACTTTTTTTAAACACCCAAATCCCTCTCAAAGCATAGAAACCTCAAGAGCAGTGACATAAGGTAGCTTGAAACACAGGTAGGGTCCTTCCAAAAAAAAAAAAAAAAAAAGATGGTGTCCACCAGCATATGTAGATCATTAGTTTTAACTGTCTGTGGTAAAACTTTTAAGATAGAAGTTAATTCGCAGGGCCTTCAGCTCTGTCTTCCTCCAGCTCTTGAACTTCCTTCTTGGCTTCCCCGTCCTTCACCTCCTGCCGGGAAACGGGAAATTTGTCCTTGTTGTTCTCCTTTTTCCATTTCATCCTCCTGTTCTGGAACCAGATTTTTACCTGTCTCTCGGTGAGGGCTAGGGCGTGGGAAACCTCGATTCTTCTCTTTCTGGTCAGATAAGGGTTAAAAAGGAATTCCTTTTCCAGCTCTAGGGTTTGGAAGCGACTGTAGGTTTGTCTTCCTCTTCGTCTACCAGGAGCTGCTGATTAAAAGAAACAAAAAAGGCGGGGGGAATCAATGTTTTAAAAATGTGATGGTGTCTCTGCATACTGCTGGAGGTTTCTGGAACTGAAACTAGTCTAAGGTTATATATATATATATAGAAGCAGACAAGGTCTTCACAATTATTCCGTTCCCATCATCTCTACATGGTTTCTACTTTTACAAAAAGTCTGTATTACTTTATGAATAAGAGCCACTGTGGCTACACAAGAAAGAGGAGGAGGGGGAGAGGGAGAAGAAAGGGGAGTTTTAAAGCTAGAACGTGAGATGAAAGCAGATTTCTCCCCTTCACCCCTCTTAAAAAAAAATGCATCCCAACCTTGTGGTCTCATCCAGGGAAACATTTGAGAAGGAGACGCGCTCTGATTTAAGTGGTCTGGGTCCTCGCCAATATTACCACTGGACGATTTACAGTCAGGATATTGTACCAGCTCGGCCTCTTGCTGGGTCGTAAAAATCGGCTGTCTCTGTAAGTTATCGTATCCGTAAAACTTCGCGGGCTCCCCGTGACAGGCAATCCCGCCGCAGGGGGGAGGCGGAGGATGCGGAGGAGGTGGGGCGGCCCGGTAGGCAGCGGCCGGGCTGCCCCCGCCGG